TAACTTTTTAATTTTTATAAATTACTTTTATTAAATCTAATTCGTTATTACTACAAGCAATCCAAATATTTTTTACACTATTATCTAATGTCATCTTTTTATGTATTCTATAATCCTTAGATAAAAAATTATAGCTCGATTTTGATTAATTTAAGGAATTAATGGTTAATAGAAATTATTATGGGATTAGAGATCAAATCAAAATGTTAATAATAATTAGTTAATTCATTTATTTTTTTTTATTCAATATAATTAAAAAAGGTTGTAAGGTTAAAGTTTATATAGTTAATATAATTAGTGAATGTAATAACCGTAAGATTTCCACATCCAAATCATTGAAAGAGCTAAAACAATAAGTTAATATAAAATAATTAACATAATAGTGTGTAACTTACTTGAAATAATCATTGGTCCAATAGTACCAGCGTTAATTCTAGCAGTTTTAAAGTAGAAAATTTCGGTATTAAAGTGGAAGAAGGCTAATACATAAGTTAAGAAAGTCATATGATAAATACTAAATATATTAAAAGTTAGAGTTTTAGCTTGTATACTTATAAAGTTTAACTTACGTTTTATCGTGAATATTATAAGCTGCATAAGCTCTAACAATACCACTAGTGAAAGTCCATACTGCGAATAATCTACCAGCTAAACCGGTAACTAATAGAATAATATATTAGTTTAAAGTAATATTGTAAAGATGATGAGTTTACCTTCTTGAGGTTGTTGGTCATAAATACGACGATTAAACTTGAAGGGACTTAAAAAGCATTGAGCAGAGTTGAAGAAGGCTAAAGTAGAAACGAATAAGAAGTACTTTGGTAAAGCTCCCTCTGGAATATAAGCGCTTAACATTTTTAAAATAATAACAGTAATAAAAGAAGATATTATTAGATATGAAGTAATGTGTTGACTTTTATTAAATATAATTCATGAGAATTTAATGGATAAATTTATTATGGGATAAAATTGTGTATATAAGTGGATTAATAGACTGAATAATATAATATAGTTAGAATAAGTGGAATAAAATAAAAATAGAAGGAGAAGGATAATGTTTTTAGCGATACATATTGGAGCTGGTAAAATAACAATAATAAACTCTTATACTTAAAAAACAATATAACTCAATATTAATAATTAGGCTTTCACAGTCCTACCAAGTCCTTAGCGTATAAAAAATTAATAAAACAGTAATTTAAAAATAATAATAACAAAAGCCCTACTAATTGTATTAGATGCTTGTTAGAAGGGAAAAAGTTATTATTAGAAAAAACTTGTGGCATTCAAGTTATTACTAAAATAATTAAAATTTTAGAAGTAAAAAAAATAATAAAATTTAAATATAATTTCTAATTATTATTTAGGATTCAGAGTTAACGAATGCAGGTAATAATAGATTTATTAAGTTTAGCATCAATGTTAATATTTGATTTAAGGTTATGGTTCAAATTTAAATTTAATAGGAGAAGTTGAACTTGATGCGAGTTTAATGGAAGGTCAAAAAAATTTATTTACTTCAGTAGGCGCTATATCAAGTAATTTTTATAACAATTCAATTTAAAATTAATATTGATAATATTAATAGATATTAAAAATCCAATTGAACTTTGTGAATCTATGCTAACTGAATATAGTAAAGGTCACTGGGGCTTGGGTAGAATACCACCAACGTAATTTAATTTTAATTCAATTATTATTATTATTATTAATTTAATTTTAGTATGTTATCGGGTAATTATACAAATTTAATAAGTAAAATTTACAATCTTCCAGCTCCAATAACTAATAAAAAAGAGTTAATATCGGGTAAATATATATATGTTTATTTAATGTGGTTATTTATAAGGTTTTAGAGTCTAGTTTAAAACAATATTCTAAGCATTTTAAAAAATTTGAAGGTATTGAAGAGAGTAAGGGAATATTAGAATTGATAGATGTTGGGAATAGTGAATTAAATAATGTAATTAAAAATATTAGTAATAAACTTAATATTAACTAAATATATGATAATTTAGACGAATTCTTCAACAAATTCAACAAATGCTGAAAATTCACAATTTTACGACACTGTAGGCGCCATCTGCATTGATCATACCGGTACCATAGTTTCTGGCTGCTCCTCAGGTGGCATCAGTTTAAAACTACCAGGTAGAATTGGTGAAGCAGCAATTAAAGGCCTAGGTGTTATGCAGATGACCCCAAATCTAGCAATGATTATATTGGAGTTGGCTATAGCTGTACAGGTAATCTAATATCTTTAGTATTAACAATTTTACTAAGAGAAGACTAATTGATATTAATAGGTATGGGAGAGCATTTAACAACAATTAACCTAGGTCAAAGAGTAAACGATAATTTTATAAAATTTATAAAATTATCGGAACAAGACAATGAAGAATTTAACGATAAATACTTAACACCAATAGATTATTTAAATAGTGAATTAGATAGTAATAAAAAGTAATTTAATAGTAATAATATAATATTAAAAAGTTATTAATATAAATTAGATAATATTAGTTTATCACAATTTGATTTAAAATTAATGGGAATATTATTTATAGGCGTTGATAAGAAAAATAATGGTAATAATATAAAAATATTAAAATAATATTTAAACTAAAAATTTTTAGATTTACATTTATTAAAATTATTTTCAACACCTTCAATGGTAAATTATACACATTTATTTAATTTATTAATTACTAACTTTTATTATTAGGGCTCAGGGTATTGGAATAGTAAAAAAAATGAAATTAAAATTTCTATTGATTATAGAGATGATAATGTTAGTAGTAGTGATAGTGGTAATAATTGGTGTTTAATTGGAAATAAATTCAAGTTGTAAATTTTTATTATTCTATTTATTATATTTTTTTACAAATTTTTGTTAAATTATTAAATTTAATTATTAGTGGCTTGGTCTATTCTAATTGGGAGGCTTGATTAACGTTGATATTGTTGATTTCTTTAGGTTCTTCATTACTTATTGTAGTATTTGTATCGTTGTTTAATTCTTGATTATTGTTATTAATTTCGTTTTCTACTTGGTCAACTTGTGTATTGTTGTTATTATCTATTTCGTTAGAGTTTTCTACTTGGTTATTAATACTGTCGTTGAGTTCGTTTGATTCTTCTTGAGTATTTACATCATTATCAATGATCTCCTCAACTTTTTCAATATTATCAAGTTCTTTAACTTCTTCGATAACAACTTCCTCAACTTCATTAGTCTCTTCAGTTTGATTATTATCATTATCGCATTCCTCATCATCTCCATCATCTTCCTCTTCCTCCTCATCAGCTTGCTTATTAGCTCTCTCCTCATTCTTCTTCCTCCTCTTTAACTTTAACTTACTCTTCTTTTGTAATTTACTAATTCTTTTTAAATTATTCTCACTTAAGTTTAATTTTTGATTTAAACTTTCCAAGTAATTAAAATCTAAAATTAAATTAATAAATAA